TATCTGGCATTGTTGCTTGTTATGTAGCCTTTAGCTATGCATATGGACTCTTAAAAAATTATAATGGCCCCTTTAATCCTTTTGGGTGTTTAAGGCCATACTGTTCGCCCAGATAAACCAATTTATTGTTACTCTTAAGGTCGTTTGAGAATCTGTTCCTCAGGGGTCACATGGGCTTGGGAGGAGCCCCTGGCTCCATTCTTTGACCAGTTCCACCTATCTGAAGATAAGTCAAAGGCCCTGCTAGACCATGGTTAGCTTTGCTTGGAAGCATGGAGGAAATGATTCCTCTGTGTTGACCCTCCTCTTTGTAGACTGGACACTGGTTCAAGTCCATCTGGTGGGGTCTCCTCGGCCTCCTTGATCAAGAGGACAGGTGACCCACCACAGTTACAGGACATTTTGAGACATGCTCATAGTCCCCTGGAATTAGTCAACCTAGGAGGGCAAGGAGCAAAAAGTATCCTTTATGTCCCTCTGACCAAATTATTATAGGCCTCAAAGTCTATCTGTTAAACATCCAGGAAGGTTAGTTCCACGAGTCTGGTACTTTTAATGTGTGTCATGTAGATAAATCTTGGGCAAAGACTGATTGTTCTCAGATAAACCTTACCTAACATATATTTCTTGATTTGCTATGTATAATTTGTCAGTACGTTGTTGGAGTAATATGGTTCCCTCTGGTTTTTAAAACTAGCTAGGCATTATTTATCTCTCGCATTGTCTCACCCCTCCATCATGGTTGTCCCACTTAACGTCCCCCCATTTACCCCCTTTCTCCCTTAATAATACCCTTCTCCTATGGTCCTACCTCTCTTGAGCTCCTTCTTTCCCTTTATCCCCTAGGTTCCTTGTATAACCTTCCCTCCCCACTCCCTTAAATTAACCAAGTTTTTATCCATAACTCCCTTATTAAGGCCTGTTTCCTACTGTTCTGTTTCAGGTTCTTTCTTTTCCTTTACCTCCCTGTTTCCTTTCCATTATCCTGGTTCCTGTGGTTATGTCTGGTTGCATACTTATCAGACTCTGGTTCCAGGATCCACATATGAGGGAGAACATGTATCTATTTTTTTTTTGGCATCTGTGTTACTTCACTTAGTACGACAGTTTCTAGTTCCATCCATTTACCTGCAAATTTCACGATTTCTCATCTTTCTTTACTGCTGAGTAAAACTCCATTGTATAAATTAACCACATTTTCATTATCCACTCATCAACTGAGCGACACTTAGCTTGCTTCTTTCCCCTTCAACTATAATAGACATTTTGGCTGGGTATAGTAGTCTGGGTTGGCATCTGTGGTCATTTAAAACTGGGAATTCTTGGGTCCAGGCTCTTCTGGCTTTCATAGTTTGCACTGAAAGTGAGCTGTAATCCTAATGGGTTTTCCTTTATATGTGACTTGTTGTTTCTCTTTTGCAGGTTTCAGTATTATCTCTTTGTTCTGTACATTTAGTGTTTTACTATGATGTGCTGTGGAGAGTTTCTTTTCTGGTCCTGTCTGTTGGGTGTTTTATATGCTTCCTGTATTTGTATGGGCATGTCTTTCTTTAATTTTGGGAAATTTTCTTCCACGAGTCTGTTGAAGATCTGGTCCATGCCATTATCTTGGGATTCTTTTCCTTCCTGTATGCCTATGATTGTA